AACCCGCTCTGCAAAATACCCAGTAGCTTTCTGTCTCACCTACTTTTCATTCTGGGCAGCATTTTGTGATAGAGCCTCAAAGTGCATCTGCAGTTGTTAGAACTGCATGTTGCTGTCTAGGCAGTTTGGCTCACTTTCAAAAGTGTGGTGTAAAATTGAATTAAACCAAGTAATGATGTGAAATTTGTTGGCACTACTTTCCCAACTGTAGTGAAACCGGACATTTTAAATTGAACTGAAATCGACACAAATGCCCAAAACATAGAGTTGGATTGTATGATGACATCTTCTTTTTCTTGATCTGCTAGATTTTGTGCAGCTCGGTCAGATAAGTGTGGACTTATCACAACATAGGCAATACAACCTAAAGCAAATCTTCAAATCTTTCACAACCTAATGAAGGTTGAAGTGTTTTGTTCAGACAGTGAATTCAGAATGACTAAACAATGTAACTTAAATTACATATTCAACAGAAATTCTGATTATCAGAGGGTTTAAATCTTTGAATTTCTTGCACACTTTTCAGTAGAAATATGCATTTGTTGTTTTGCCTTACATATGTGAATAAAATAACACTTTTTTTCACAAAATCTCCAAAATTCTAAAGGCAAACTAAACTTTGTACCTTATTTTGTTTTACTTTCTTCCCACACTTGCACAAGTACAATACCTTAGGCAGAAAAAAATGTATCTTCTGAAAAGCATATTCATAAGAATTGAGAAGTCCCTGCACACCTTTCATTATAATGGATGATAATGGTCCAGCACTGCTCTTCTCCCACACTTTTTATTCATGCTTTTTCTGTCTCCCGCTGGTAGCCTGTTAACGAGTACCAGTGAGCTACAAATAAAGATGGTCTGGCTGTGCTTCTCATTTACTGAAAAACAATGAGGCAGGAGACTGACTGCACTCCAAAACCTTAAGGATAGAGTTCAAGTGCTTGACCTTTCTCTGATTGCTTGTTTTCTGCTTTGTCTGTCTTTCCAGTAGTTCTAACTGGCTGCAGTGTATGTATTTATGTTGTAGGACTTGCCGGAAAAGTAAATTTAAAAAAAATCCTTTTAATAACTCATTGAATTTTAAAGACTTTGAGGTTATCTCTCGAGTTGTTTGAGTGCTGATGTGGATGTAGTCTCAGTGACCGAAGAAAAAATTGGGAACTGTGTAAACAGAGATAGTGTCTCAACGCTGCTGTGCTTCTTAAAGAGAATTTTTTTTTTTTATCTGTCGATTCATCTTCAGCCTCTTTTTTTATTGCCTCTTTCTTTGCTAAGTCTTCGACTTTCTGAGAAAACTACTAAACTTTCTATTGAGCTCCTTTTTGGTCTTTAACAAATGTCATCAAGAATATCTTGAGGTCGGAAAGTAAGTCTCCAAACTCTGAGATCTCTTTAAGAATACCATTGAAACAGAAAAAGTTATGCTTGAGAGGGCAGGTTAGCGGTATTTATTTATGCTTCATTTAAAACATTTAAATCATGCAAAATCTTTAATAAATACTCATCAGGCATGTTAATATGTCCATCTCTGCAGTTTCAGGTCAGATTTTCCTTATGCACCACAAATCTAGAACAATGGCAGAAGATCACACATCACTCCAGGCTTAGCTTCTCATTCTGGATTTAGCAGTAAATTTTAGAATCCATTTTATGATTTTAATCTTCACTTTTAGGGCCTAGTTCCCAGTTCCACCACCGCTGTATATTTCTGACCTGATAGAACCCCATTTGTTTTCCCGAGTACTGATGACCACTTGTCAGAATTTATTGGTATTCCCATTCACTCGATTCAAAACTCATGGAGATTGTATGACTCAGGCAGCTGCACCAAAATGGTGTAAGTCGCTCCCACTGTCCTTTGGTTTCACTCACTCCATTGTCTCTTTTAAACAGCAACTGTTTAAAAGTTGCTGTTGTACAGAAACACTTTTAATTAATGACCTCGGTGCTTTATTTTGTGTCACTGTGTTTTGTCTGTTTTTTAGGCTGTTTTACCCATGAAGCACTTCATAATTTTCATCTGTGAAAGTTGGAGTATAACTGAAATTGACTGAAATTAATTATTCAAGAAACGCAAATCAAATCCAGAACAAATGCCTGGGCTGCAGATTTCCACTTATCAAATGATTTCTGAAGATGACAGTCGATGAAGAAGTTTGCAGTAAAGATGGTGAAGAGGAAAGTCTTGGTTCACTTATTACATTTTTACACATGGTAGTCAAGTAGGCAGCTAATTGCGGCTCCGACTCTTGTCAAGTGGTTTTCAGATCTGGTGTTGCCAAGGCTCTGGCTCATAATTTCTCATGACCAGGATAAAGGTTTTTCAATGATGACTCATATTCTGCCAGAGTTTGTTTTATAAGGCAGTATATTTTTGTCATTGAAGCACTCATTGGTGGTGTCTTTTGCTGATATTTATATTATTTGAAAATTAAACTTGGCTTTGGCTGTAGTTCTCTTTGAAAGCCCGTCTTTTTGTAGACCTGACAGTTGTGGGTCCTTTTTTTTCCTTATGGGTGTGGGTTTCATTAGCTTCTCAAAAAAACAAAGTGTTAGGAGTTCATACCAAGTCTATTTTCTGTACTCAAGGAATTTTCCCAGGCACATGAGAAAACTCAGCATGAACCATCTGGCTTTCTTTGAATTCCCCTGAACTGGTAAAAACCCACAACAGTCCTTTGGAGGAAGGACAAGATAAATTGCCTGCTTCTTCACTCCAACAGTGGTTAATTATTCAAGAAACGCAAATCAAATCCAGAACAAATGCCTGAGCTGCAGACTTCCTGCTTGTTATTGAGATACAGCAACGTGGTCGCTTGACTTTTAGTTGTTTTTCTGGCGGGTCTCTCTTCCACGGTGTTACAGCTGGATCTGTGAAGTTGCACAGCAAAAAAATTAAATAAACTAAAAAAAAACAAAACATTTCTAAAAGTGTTTTGTTTGAAATTTGTTTTTTTCTGTTTAACAGTGTCTTTATAGAACCAAGTAATTTGCACAACTTTACATGCTTAAATACATTAAAATATGTCTTTGCATTTTGGGTATGTTGTCTGTGTAGTGAAAAAAACGGGTCATATTTTTTGCATTTCCATCTGCTATCTGTGAGTGCTCTCATCCTGAAACACACTCACAGGTTCAACATGCAAAGCAGACAAATCAGTGGGGAGGGTGTAACCAAAATAAACATGGCAGGTGTTACTATTCACAGCCAGCGGGTACTTCTTACTTTACTGTTTCTAATAGTAGGAAGCTTGACGATGATGTGTGGGTTTTACACGCTGCAGCTTTACATAGTTTCTTACTCTACTCTGCTGTTTGTTCAGAGACACAGAGCAGTATTAATTCTATTTTTGGTTTGGCATGATGCTTCATCTGATGCTGTCTTTTCTCATAGGATGTAGGAGTGTTTTAATATTGTAAATATTTCTACCCTGATTATACATTTTAAATGAAATTCTGATTTAACTCGCTACTGGCCAGTTTCCTATCGTAACAGCCGAGTTGGCTCTTCATTGAGAATATTGGCTTTTAATTTTATCTGTTATTTTATCTATGAATAATTTGCAAATACCTGTACAGTATAAGATATGCACTGCTTAAGAAGAAGTAAGAGTACTTAGGTGAACAAAAATAATGTGTTAGTGATGTCAGGGATATTATCACTTCTATTTGTAGTTGTCAATTCACTAATAGCTGGGTTAACATGAAAAGCGCGCGATTAACCTGTCCATCTGAATTCCAGCTTTCACTTGGAATCAGCTATGCCTATTGGGGATGTTTGCTCAACCTCAGAGAAAGGAGAAGGTCTCTGTGATCTTAGGTTTTTCTTAGTAATAAACATGTGTCAGTGGTTGCTATACACCAACTCTTTCTATTTCCATCCTGAAAGTTTTTACTTTGATCATAAAAAGCAGTTGTTTTTTTTGCATTAACTCTCTTAGACAAGAGGCAAGAAGCATTCTCATTAGGAGCTACTGGTGGGCTTATAGACACAAACAATCAATTTAAATTCTATGTTTAAGATGTAGCTGTTTCTGTTTAGTTTAAGATAAAACCTGTAAAAACACAGAGACCTAACATTAATCCAAAGATAGCTTGACAATTTTATGAGCAGAGTTCAAGTCAGTTCACCCTAAAGAGTTGTGGTGACAGGCAGTATTTTTCCACTCAATACTGATGTTCTTTTAATGTATTGCTATAAATGTGTTAAACTTTTTTAACACTCCTGGTGGCGATCAAATCAACTGATGGGGTTTTTAGAAATTTACAACCACTCCTTAATATTTACAAAAAAAAAATGTTGATTAAAAATAAAACTGGTGTTTATAGGACACCTGTTTTCAGGAAAATCAGCTTAATAATATTCAGTGTGCAGTTAAACTGTCTCCACGCTCTATGATCCTCCACACAAACATTTATGATGACGGGTTGACATGGCACTGTGAAAAAACAAATGGGATGTGACTTAAGACCTGGCTCTACCACCAGCTCCAGTTAATCACTGAAATCCCTGTTGGTTTCAAGGCTTGATTTCTGCTGCTTCAGGCAAGAAATAAAAAAGAGCAATTCTTTCACTTTAATCCTCACATGTGCAAGTTTGAGAGATGGGGATTTATTATATTTTAAATGTAATATTTGAGGTCTGATGAGTGGTTGAGCATTTCAGCACAGCTAAGTTCAAGAAGGTTCTCTTTTGAAAGAAATATTATTTTAGAGATTTTATTAAAGCCCAGGACTCACGAGGTATCACAGAATTGTGTAATTACACACTTTAATCACATCACATGTCTGTACAAAAATACTTTTCAAAGGTCATGAGATATTTTAAAACAGATAAATCCCCCACATCTTCTTGAATGTGTTAAGAACAATTAATAATCAGAATATAAAACTATATAAAAAAATAAATTTTGGTTCTGTCACACGCACCGGCGCGCCAAAACTCAGACACCCAGCTAATGATTGCATACTGCTTCTTCTGGTCTTCTTTCTTCCTTCAGCGGCCATTTTGGATGACCAGTCTGTGTGTGGTCGTGGTGAGCGTCTGGCTCTGGCTCTGGCCAGAGAGAACATTAACAATCAGATGGAGGGTTCCGCCCAGGCCAGGGTAGAGGTGGATGTCTACGAACTGCAGAAGGATTCCCAGTACGACACCACTGACACCAGTAAGCCCTGTCATTCCCCCTGACTGCAGGTGACATATTTGTACATGTAAAGCCATTCCTCGAGAGTCATAAAAAAGATTGGGTTCCTTTCAGAAGAGGCCAAAGTTATTTTGTTACTGTAGATAAATGTATCATGTAGGATACATAAGACTATGGAGTGCAAATATGTAAAACCGTTTGTTTTTTATCTAACAAATCAAAGTTAGTTTGGTGGAGAAAATTCTTGATTCTCGATCCAGTGGCGTAAATCACAAATTAGGAAAGTCCAGTAATTCCCAACATCTCTTTGTCGCTATGTTTCAGTGCAGCTGAATGCTAATGCTAAACATGTTTAAGTTTTACCCAAATCCATTTTATGTGACTAAGGTTAATGCAACTGATTTCATTGAGAAAGATTAGTTGAATGAAAGTAATCATCCTTTTGTTTTTGTTTAGAAATGGCAAACATAATACAAAACATACTCTACTCAGAGCAGCTGTTATGTCAGGTTGAAGCTATTTATTGTGAACTGGTGCTATATAAATAAACTGAAGTGAATTTAATTAACTGGCTGTTGTAATATTAGACACTGACAGAGTAGTTTGGCTGGAGGTGTCGGGAAAGGCAAAGAAAGCCTCCAGTAAAGTTGGGAAATGTTACATAAGCCAAAATAGATATTCTGGGCCCTGACACAGATATTATACGAAACAGAGGTTTTCTTTAGACTTTACTCTGAGGCTTACAAGCTTCCCCCCTTTTTTACTGTAACAATGTTAATTTAGACCAAAACTTACATTTTGGATTCTTTAGACTACAGGACACATCTGAAAAAAATGATTTTCCACCACATTTTGCATCACGACATGAGACACAGAGCAGTCCACAATTCTTTGTTGATTTCTTTTCATTTACCCTTAATATAACATCAAAATGTTTAAAATGTTGCCTTTAAGGAAGATGTCCTTCTATAGACGTCCTTAATTGAAGGACGTCTATAGAAGTCCTTCATTTCACTTTAATGTTTTGAATATCCACATAAAAAGTCATAATATTAAAAAATGTTTTGAAATATAAAAATTATTGAAGGGACAAACTTCTGAATTTGAAAGAGTTAGCCCATCCAAATATTTCTCTTTGTAGCTTACCATTTAGCAAAAATGTATAATCCTTTCCTAGTAAACAGGAGAAGCTTAGTCTGATTTATTTATAGAAATTGCTAAAACATGCTAAGGTATTTTTGTAGAGTGTATGCGATTCTTTTTCAGCTTCATGTGGAAATTGTATTTTTGTTAAGGCTTGCGTTGAAATTAATGAACTGGCCCCAAGTATGAATGCTACATAAAATTACCATTAAAAAATGTCTGTCTTGGAGAAATTTACCTTCCTCTGAGCTAAATTAGATTTACAAAGTACATTTTTGGTTTAAATCAAATTTACTGTGCATGTTGACTGCGTCAGATGAGCAGTAATTTTCTTTCCAGGTGGTAATCAGGACATTAAAGAACAAGTCATAGGAACACAAGGACGGATGGCTCATGGCGATGTTTCTCCGTTTCAAGGTGTAGAGCGTTGGTGTGAAGCGAGGTCATGGCGACCTCAAAGCTTGCAGCATTCTGAATGAGCAGCTGCTGATGATGTTTATTGATTATGAACTGCCAGCGGTATAAGAGGAGACTTCCCAGAGGACAGGCAGTTAGGTTTTCTTTCAGAGTGGAGCACATAGACACACAGTGACGAATTCAAAACGGCACACCGTGTGCAGGGGAAAACCTGGCTAATTAAACCAGAATATTGAAAATTCTCCAGCTGTCCATGTTACCTGGGAACTTTGCTTCACACCTACAGTAAAGTTGGTATATTGGTTTAAAAATATAGAACTAAAGCTTGATCTCTGTAGAGTAAGATAAAAATCACATACCTATGATACCTCAGGCGGCAAATGACTGAGCCCTTTTTAGATTAAATGTCAACATTATTTATTTGTCTGGCTTAGGTACAGCTTTACATTTCATATGACATTTTTATTCTAAGAAAGCACACCATTCACCAAATAACATTATTAACTGAGAGCGTCTGTAATCAGACTGTGACTATAGTAATAATAATAATAATAATAACAATAATGGAGGAAGTGGGTTGCAGTTTAAGAAAGAAATTCAAATGATAGACTTTGAATTATTTGAATTCAAAGTCAATCATTAATGTCTTGTAGGACACATTTCACTAATGTAGGTCTATTAGAGTAGGATAATTTACCTACATTATTTTTGTAGGTTTATTGTCAATAATAAGAATGTATATGGTCAGATTTTACCCACAGTTTATATTTTTGTCTGTATTCACTATAATATTATAATTAGAATGACTATAGCAATGATATTCAAGTTATTAAAGTAAAGTTTAATTTAACACTGACCTCTGTTTCTGCATCCTTTGTTCCCATTAGTGTGCCAGATCCTGCCTAAGGGCGTGGTCTCAGTGATCGGCCCTGCCTCCAGTCCTGCCTCAGGGTCGACCATCAGTCACATCTGTGGGGAGAAAGAGGTGAGCCGTCTCTGGCCTGAAGCCATCTGATCATGTCAGTGGATGAAACGTCACAGGCCCATCAACTTAGAGCCAAAACTCAATCAATCCAAACAGATTGTTTCTCAATGTCAGTAATTTGGTTCTAATTTCTTCAGAAAGTGTTTGGAAAACCATCCATAACAAAGAGACCTGCATGTCTTTCATCCATTACATGGAAAGTTATGTGTTTGGTAATTTCAAACTCACTTCAGACAGGTTGAAATGAATTAATTTATGTTCATAGTTCACCGCCTGAACTCCAACACGAACAAGTTCCTGTTCATTTATCATGTTTTGTATAAATTAACACAGCAATATATTGGTTCTGACATCATTTCTAAATTAGCACAAGGTTTATGCTGCTGTCTGTTTTCCATTTGATTATCTCCTGTTGTCTTTGCTCACATAAAATGTATTTTATGATAAAACAGCTGCTATCATTCACATATTTTAATAGTTTCATCAAAAGCAATTAAATTGTGACTGAATGCGCTCCACGGTTTACTGGGCTAACAACGTTTCTGTGCTCACCTTTGACCCTCATTAAGCCAGCGCTGATAGGTTTGGTATTGGTTTTGTTTTGTGGTCTATAAAACTATTATTTTACAATCCAACACCCACAGTAATACAAAATAACATACTGAAATTCAAAATTGCTTGGACAAAAGCATTTTTTTCCTGCATATGCGTTTCTAATTTTACAGCTCTAAAGTCAGAATACACTCAGGTCATCCGCATGTGATTTTGGTTTTATGGAGTAAACCAACTATTGACTCTTTTCAAACAAACTAGCTGATGAAATCTTCAGTCACATAAGTGAAATACATCTCTGTTTCTTTTGGTTAATTTATTGCAGGATTGTTGAAGAAGAGTTCAAACCTAGATGTTTTTTTCTTGCATGTTTCTTCTGACTATAAGTTCCAACTAGTATCTGACACAGGAAGTGTGAGGAAAGCTCAAATATTAGGTGAATGGCAAGAAGGCCCTTCAATCTTGAATATCATCCCTTAAGATAAACTGTAAAAATGAGGAAACATGCCAGAGCTGGAAAAGCTTGATCACTGCAATCTCAATCAGATCAAAAGTTGTTGCTTTATAGCAAAATTAAAATAAAGTTTTCAGGAGTTTTAATTACTTTGGTCGCACGGTAAGTGCATAAGTGTACATTTTGTTCTAATTTCTAACAGCCCATTTGGCTCCTTATTAAAAACCAAGATTAGATTTTAAGCAAACTTTATAATTATTCTCATATACTGTGTTATTAATAACGGTAATAAACTTTGCACTCGTTCTTGAATGTAAGAGGTTACATTCGATTTAAAAACAAGATGGCCAACTCTTAAATTTGCAATAGTATGTATGTTTTAAGTCACTGCCAATAATGTTCAGTAAAAAAGTGAAACATGATGAAATGCTTAATGACTTATGAGAAACAAGTATTATTCGTTTCGATGCAAATGTTGCCAGATCAGCTCTCATGCAGATGCTAAAGCATGCTAACTAGTAGAAGAATGAACTCATGTTCACACTTTCAGTGAATCCACATTGCCACAATCTCACTCTTCATTTTCAGCTTCTAGCCATCATCTCATCTTGAACCCTGTACCTGACATGTCTCATAATACTGGATTCTAAGTTTCTTTTGTACATTATGTTTTGCCGGCCAGAGCAAAGCCCAGTTGAATTAATTACAGCTTAGCTTTTAAATTGCTATTGGTGTTAGTCAAGGCTAAAGCTCAGTCAGTTCTCCTGTCACTACATTCATCATTCATGACTGAAGTGAATAATTTTTAAATCTCTCATTAATTTCTCAGTTTTATACAAACCTACAAGTTACAGGAGCCATGTTCTGGTGTTTATACTGTGAGAGAAGAGTCTTTGAGTTTTCTTTTTCTTGGTTCTAGCTTTCCTTCTGACATGGATGTTCTTTATATCGGTATTTATGAAGTAATAAAAAACAAGAATATATACATACACCTATAGATAAAAACAGAGAAAAAAACAAAAATGATGTTTTGCAACATAATGTTCAAAGTCATTTTAGCTGCTTCTTTGAAAAGAAGAGAGAAGAAATTTCTGTTTTTTTTCTTTTCAAAACCAAAATAGCATAAGAAATAAAGGTGTTCTGCAGTACTTTTCAAATGTTTATTTTTTTTTAAAGCCTAGGCTTTGGTGTTCAGATTTTCTTTCTGACAGTGGATAAAGACAGAATTGCCTGTAACTGATGACAGACCATTTTGGCTGCTGTGACCTTCATTTTAGTTCTTCCCGCTTTTGCTTTCCTCCCTTTTATGTATTTTCTTCTTCATGCACAGTGTTTAGGTCTTCAGCTTGGTTAAGAGTTGCACAGCTTCTCTGTACTACTCTCTTTTTTTGTCTTCATCTATTCACAGATTCCTCATGTGAAGATCGGCCCTGAAGAAACCCCAAAACTGCCATACCTGCGCTTCGCCTCGGTGACTCTCTACCCGAGTAATGAAGACCTCAGCCTGGCCATCGGATCCATCCTGCGGTCCTTTGGCTACCCAACAGCTAGCCTGATTTGTGCTAAAGCAGAGTGTGAGTTTATTATCAATACCCTGTCATCTGTTTCTTATAATTCAGTCTCATTTGATTTATGACCAAAAACAACTCATTTAAAGCAGCAGTGGACTTGCTGCTAACACTATAAGTTGATTTTGAGTTTCTGGTTAGTTACTCTTATTCCAATCTGCTTTTCTTTCTGTCTGTTTATTTCCACTGTGCTGGATTTAGGTCCTTGTGCTGAGCAAGTGCATTGCATCCATCAAGGTTTTTGGTTTTCAAAGCAGTAGCTATTTCAAACTCTGTAGAGTTCACTGATGTGTCTAGACGATAAGTTTATTGTAAGCTTAGGGCTTGCCAAATCCTGCTGAGGCGATGAATCTGAAAGACCTTTGGAGATTTCCTGTCCTGTCTGGAATGTGTCCAGAAAGTTCTTCAGATCCTTAAAGTCAGAGCTGATGTGAACTTGATTTGTTGCAGCAGATCCTTCAACATAATGTGGCTGCTTCATGATTTGGCTCAGCCAGCAACCAATGTTGTCTTCTGACTCAGAGCACCCCACAAGCCTTATGGGCTTTTTGTTAATTTGTCAACATAATGCAAGGTTCTGGAATAAAAATGAGGACTTGAAAACTATTTACCAATATGTGACATACATTGGTATACTTTTTATGTTTTCTTCTTTCCTGCTTCCTATTAGTTCTGTATATCTACTTTCCCCTGTAAATGTGTTCCTAAAAAACAATCATGTTAATTTTTTACAAGTAAAACAGCAAATACTCACAGACATGAAGAAGAAAAAAAATTAAATTGTTTTGAAAGCTATTCCATGTCTGATTTGGGAATCTAATGACAACGGTTGCCATATGTTATAATAACGGGAAGCTTCCTATCGTTTTCATAATTGACTGCAAATTTAGAGGGCCAGCTGTTTTAATGCTTCAGAGTCGTGTAAAGGAAAAAAGCATGTCAAAGAACTGATGCAAACATCTGTCACTAAATAGCCAAACTATGATTCCCAGAGTCAAAATCCATTAGATTCCTGGATTTGTTATTATTTTTGCAATCAGAGTTATCATCCAATTCTTTGAGTTCAGAATTCACTTTATGTGAAATTTATATATATATATATAAACATATATATACACTTATGCTTTCTATCTCTGTTGAGTCCAAACAAAAAAATAACTAAACTGTTAAATCAAGCTTGTGAACCATTTAGAACAACTTTTCAGACATATTGTTGTCTTCTTTATGTCTCTTGTTATTGCTTGGTATCTCAGTATAATAAGCTTTTAATTTAGTAAGTTGTCGTTCTTTCTGCGTCTTGGTATTCAGTCACTATCAGTTCTTGTATTTGCAACATTTTGCCCTTTTTGTTTCTGGGGCACAAATCGTCCATAAAGGCACCTCATCCATTTTGCTTTAAACTGTGATGGTCATCACGCTTATTTGTCATTTCACACCATGTTTTTATAGAGCCTCTTCAGTAACCATAGGCAGCATCTGTCATGGGACGATTTTTACCTACCATGCATCAATTCACTGCTGCCTTGGGGACACTTTGTGCTAGATTTAAAAACCATTAATATTAAATCATTTCCTGCAGTATACAGTAAGAACATTTTCTTATGTGTCTCGGATAAATAACACCTGCAGGAGATACTATATTATTATAATTATTTTTGGGTAGAATCACAGTTAGTGGCATTAAGGTGTAAAATAAAGAAATATTGGAGTGAAGATAGAAATGTGTTGGTACAAAATTAGTGTCCAAATATGTTAAGGAGGGAATTGACCTGTTTGTTAGAGAAATCCCTGTGTATTCCTGCTGATAATTGAGTGTTAATCTTTTATTTACGCCTCTCTCTGGGTTACTGGGGTGGCGTTTTTTTAAGTTCATAATCTTGGTGAAAGTTATTTGAAGTTAAAAAGAGAAATTTTCTGAAGAACGTCAGGAGGATTTATTTATATTTCAATATGTTTGTAGGTAGCAGTCAATACTTCCAACGGTTTAAATCTTTTGAAGAACATTTAAATGAACAGAAAACAAAAAAAGTTATTTCTTTAGCTGAGCTAATCAGACAATTTAAGTGTGACCATAAACAGGATAAAAATGTGTACATAATTTCCATTTCTCTTTAATCAGCTGAGATGTGTGTGAACATTATTTTAGTGTTTTTCTGTATTCCTTAATAAAGCTTCATTTGAGAATAAGTTTTAATTCATAATAAACAAATTATGGATATTAGAAAAGTACATTTAAACCAGTTGTAAAGATATTCTTTATTTTTTACATTGTTTGAAATGCAAAGGTGCCTAAAAAGCTTTTACATCTGTTAAGACACCTGGGACAACATGCATTCTCTGAGGAAAGAAATTAATGGCCTCTCTACATAATCACCTTTATCCCAGTCTGTTTATTGCCTCTTTTAGGGCAATGAAGCAGCAACAGTTATTTGTCACTCTAATGATTCTGAATCCCATCAATTTAAATTTTTTTCTTTTCTCTTATTCAAATCAAAGTAATAATTTAACAAGCAAACAAGCTTATTACGCAATCGAACACTGTTTATGTCTGTAATGTTTCTTCTGGCTCATACTTTTTCAGCTTCACAATATCTGACAGTTATTGCACAAAAAAACAGAGATTATTTTAAGAGCCCTGTTTAGGAGCAGTTATTATATTTGTACTTTATTCTTAGAGACTTTTGCTTCTCTCTTTTTCTTCTTGTTCTGCAGGCCTGCTCCGACTAGAGGAGCTTGTTCGCCACTTCCTTATCTCCAGAGAGACGCTGTCGGTACGAATGCTGGATGAAAGTCTGGATCCCACCCCTTTGCTGAAGGAGATCCGTGATGACAAAGTGGCTACCATCATCATCGATGCTAATGCCTCTATATCTTATCATATTCTCAGGAAGGTGAGGCTGTGCACTGCATGTCATGTACATCAGCAAAATATGTAAATATTTATTTTTAAAGTGCTGAATTCTGACAGCATCTGAGCAGCCTGATTTGAGCATATTGTGACAACTTGTACATCATTAAAAATCTTTCCTCAAGCATGTACAAAAACACACTTTTTCACTTTAAATGTCAAACATAATTAAAAATCAAAATATCTGAGCAAATCAAATGAGTTGTGGCTCATATCAAACCAGTCTTATGGCAACTCTATTAAAAAACAAAGAAGAGTTATTCTTCAAATTTTAGAAAATTCAAACATTTTTAGCTCACATTTACACTTACTGGAAAGATGAAAGTAAAATCGATTAAGGCCATTTTTTTCAGTAGCTTTAAAATCTAAGTTGTGACTGTTTTAGTTTTACAGTGGACCAAAGGAGCAGAGCTGGACTCACCCACATCTATACACTCAATATTTGAACTACTTTGGTTGTAGATCTTGATGATTCTTCCAACTAAACAACTGGAGCCAACCAGAGAAAAGCCACATTTAAAGAAGCATTGGCAAGTTGACTTGTGAAACAATGTTATACCAAAATCCCACACACATATCTTGACATTTGGACAGTTAGAAAATAATGCCCACCCTGTTACTGTTGGTAGCTTTATAATGTGAAACGCTGCACTCAAGAAGCTGTCGGCTCCAGTGCGCTCAAAGGTTCTCACACTGGAATTCTTACTTTATGACTCACTATAATCTATAATTTTTAAAATTTGATTAGAAGGCAGAAGACAACAATGGATAAATCAAAATCTGATTTGGATCATTTGGTTTGCTGCTGTGATCACAAACTCCTCTTCTGAGACCTTAAAAGCCCATTATGTGAAACATCCCCTCTTCTTGTTCAATTTAAGTATTTCTGTTTACTGAGAAGATTAAACCCTTAGTTTATTTTCTGCAAAACCACTTGATGGAGTCTAAAACTGCATCAATCTTGTTCTTTGTACTTGAAAACTATCCAAGGCAGGAGAATTATTTCTTCTTTCTAATCAAATAAGTACAAATATGGAAACCAAACCATTTAATACGTAATATTTCCACAGATAATTTGCATGCAAATGTTGATAAATTTAAATCAAATACATTAACAAATGTCTGTATTTTGTACCTTTGAAAGCCGCCCTGAGAAATCTTTGCGCTCATGGCTGGAGCGCTGAGGTGAAGGTGAGCAGAAGAACTACAGAGAAGCAGAGAAACTTTGGAAATCAATTACCTCTTTTTTTCTTTCTAAATAAAATTAGAAAAATTAACTTTAGTTATTGCCTTTCACCTCCTGAATCATTTAAAGGGAAGCCTTTTTAATGAATACATAAGGTCATGACCTGGAGTTCTCTGTTAATTAAAATTATAACAAAAATAATTAAAAAAAACAAAAAAATTTTTTTATTACTATGTTCATCTTTTTGATGAAGAGCTGTTTGTGTTTGGGTTTAAAGAAAGGATAACATTTATCTTAAATCAAAAATAGGTGTTGACTGCTCCCATCTGCTGGTCCTGGTGGATTTGTCTAGAAATAAGCAGTGAAATCTGCATTTTCAAGTCGGTGCTGAAATCACTCAAATAACAGATGTAAAACAGTAGCAAATAAACAGGAGATTGGACTGCATTATCAATTGTGTCCTCAGTCTATTGCTAGATTTGGAACAGGTTAAATCAAAGTGTCTTCTTGGTGTCATTTTATTCTATCAAAAATCTCACACTGAGCTCATTTAGCTTCTTTCTTTTAAACTTTTTCTCTGCCTCTAATGTAGCATCCTGCTGGTCGTTGTACTTTTTTTTTTCTTAAATCTGGAAACGAGTTGGTAGACTTTAAAAAATGGATAAATGAGACTTCCTGATGAAAAACTGTTTAACAGTTGTGGTTTGAGCTGTGTTTTTTTTTTTCTTCAGTTAGTATTGAGGTGTCCTTCGTCACCTCTTTCATCTTTGTGTGTTGCAGGCTAATGAGCTGGGGATGATGTCAGCCTTCTACAAGTACATCCTCACCACCATGGTAAGCGTCTGTTGCCTTGTAGAGTTATTGATCATTCAAGAGGAATTTCCAATTGGTTATTTATCTTCATCTAACATATCTACATTACACATTCTAGCCATATATCAGTAGTATTTTTTCCCTTATACTTGTTACCTTCTTGATTTTTTTCATTTTTCTGCTTTGCCAATATTTGGAAACCTTCATCTCAGTGTTCTTTTTTTGTCTTTTTTCACCATTTTTTGATTAATGGACAAAACTTGGAATTTGGAAATGGGAAATATATATTTACGTAATCACTAACATGAATATACATCCATCAGTCGATTGCATCAAGTTATCCCTGCAAGGTTATTGTGGTTACACTGATTTGTTTTTGACCGTGGAATAGGAAAAAGTTTGGTTGAGGTTGATGCATTGATTCACTTTAATGCCACCGTTCAGTCCCTCCTTTTTTAACCTGGCCTCAGGACAGAAACTTCACAGAGGCAGAGTTGCATATGTTTTATTTAATAAATTGATTCAATATCTATCAACTGATATACTCACCCAGTCAGCTATTTAATAATCAGCTTCAAATTTCCTCGTGGTTCACATAGGAGGGAGCAACATTTAAAAGGTAAACATTTTTAACCTTTTATCTGTTTTCTATATTGTACATTATGAATAGAGAAATCTGTGAACTCTTTCCTCCTGAACCACTGCCATCCTGGATTGCCCTAAAGTCTTTAGACGTTCAACATCTGTACTTCTGTTTTAACCTTTGTGAAGAACTTTTTCTTACATTTGACCTGCTGGGCATGAAAAGTGCCCACCTTGTCACACCTTCACTTCTTCTCACTCTTTTTCTATTTGTCTTCTAACCTTGAAAGATTTTGTGTTCCATTCTTATATTGTTTTCTTTAGGTTTTTCCTTCATTTGATTGGACTCCTTACTTTTACTATCATTTGCTCTGCACTTTTCCCCCTTGGCTTCAAACTTTCCTGTTAATTTATTTCAGCAAATTTCTTTTTATCTCAATATCCCTACAGCAATTTATTTCAGATACTACCGTTAGCAAAATATCTGGTGTCTTCCTTTGTAAGCAGCCTTTTCACACCTCCAGGATATTTTTTTATGTTACATCCTTAAGCAAAGCTTTCCTGTTTCCTCCCTTCCCCTTAAACTCCCTCTCTCCATATCTCCCTTCTCATTCAAGATGCATGCTGCTCCTTCCACTGTTTGTCATCATTATAATTCCCCTGTTTGGTGTCGTGCCCTTGTACAAAGAACCTGCTTGGATAATAACGTTTCTCGATCTCTGCCTTGACTCTAAACGCTGCATGACACGAGACTTTAACGGAGCCGTTCACACAGCACTAACAAACCAAGGGCAAATTTGTCATTCCCCACCCAATCTCAGCGCAGCCTCCTCTTTCTTGCATTTTCATTCACCTGCAGCGGTGTCAGTGACCTACCTTTAACTTTGAACTGAACATGCTCTGCAGACTAAAAATACTGGTGAAGAAAAGCACGATTTCAATATTAACCCTAATGTTCTTAGATCACACGAAAAGGGAGTCAATCATTAGGCATGATGATTCTGCTCAGCTTTCTAGTGTGTAGGAATCATTATTGCTTAATCTGTCTTTTTTATTGCCAACTACATACTGGTTCAATTTAAACTGCTTAAAGTTAACAGACTCATTACAGCTAATAATTTGTTTTGAGATTATGTTTTTTTTATTGGTCTGATTGCGGGTGCATGCCGTTGTTAGAACTGCAGAGCCTTTCTTGTATGTTCATCCTGTGTATGCCCATGGGAAGAATATGGGCCTCTAGTTACTTCTCACTGTCCAAAAAAAGATTAATTCACCATTTAAATTATCCCTAAGTGTTCATGTGTGCATGCATGGGTGTGTGGTTTGCACTTTGGAGGACTAACAACCCGCTAGGGGTTAACTCAATCTAATATTTTTGACATAAAATTGACACCAGGACAGAAACTTCCTGGTTTCTGTCCTGGTTTCTTAAATCTGGAATGTCCACTTCCTTTGCTTTTTATACTCTACGCATAAAAAGCAAATTATTCCCCACATGAAGGTATGCAGCAATAAGTTTGTGTAATTTCTCACAGAGATGAAACAATAACTGAAGACAAACAAACAAAAACAAAGAAAAATTTGATCTTTTAAAGATTAAGACTTTATTGAGTTATATGTTCAATATTCATTTTTCCAATAGTCTTTAAGATAATATCAAAGTGTTACCCTGCTCATTCAAGTTCCACCTGTTGATTCTTCAGTTAGTGTTAATGGGTTGAGAGGTCAGCAGGGATTTGGAGAAACTCCCCAGCTACGTGTTACAAACTATCAAAAACAAACAAACAAAAAAAACTTTCCCAGATTGATGAGGATTCTGGCCAAATTTTGTGTGGTTTATAATCTCATAGAACAGATTGTCTAAATATTATTCCAAGAAATAGTTCTTAAAATCACATAAGTGTTATCAAGCTCAAAAGCTGTTATTGAGCAGCATTAGCTGAATATTGTGTCTTTCAACTGTCTTTCTGTTTGATTAGCTCCTGCCAGTATTAATTTACTGTAGACAAAGCATGTGAAGATGTTTAGTCTCTTTTCATGTTCACTTCCTCAAAAGATTTAAGTGCAAATATTGACTGAAAATAATTGTGAAATTATGTTTTTAGCATGTTTGAGATTCAAACCATGACCAGCTGCTGGTAAAGGCCAGACCATGAACTCAGTTGGTATTAGTTGCTATTGTTGCAATGCAGGGTCTGAAAATGCTTCCAATACTAGAAAATGTGATTGTAAAAGCAGGTCAGAGGCAATGATGAATCCACTAACCACTAACATGAACTTCTCACACAGCAGCTAGTGACTCATCAACATTGAAAAAACTTGCTGTTTAAGTGCATTAATAACATAAATGCATAGAAGTGAACTCAAAACATAGAAGTGTGCACATCAAAGTAAAATAATCAGAAAGTTATTAACATTATTCATTTACCCATCAAATACCTAAGGACTCGTGAAGGTCATTACCTCTTGAATACCTTAGGGTTAGGCTTTAAACAGTTGAACTCATTAGTTACCAGCATGGAATAGCCTAAAGACCAGCTTCTTTCTAAATGAACATCTAGCGTGAAGCCTGCTGCAGTCAATGCATCACTGGTGTCCTTCTGGAATGCTGTCGCAGTGCTTTCTCCCTCAGCAGTGTTGGCCTGGTCCCTGCAATCCGGCCAGCCAACTGCTCTTTGTCAGAGCTGGCAGGGCGACAGTCTGACAGACGGCCTGGCTGCTGCTGAAATTGATTTGGCATCCGGCAAGAGCAACGGCAACAATGACAGCAACAGTTTCTCAGCCGCAAGAAACAATGGAAATACAACAGATAAGAAAAAGACAGAAATTTTAGTGAATAAATGTAAAAAAAAAATACATATATTTGTCCCATTTGGCAAAGAAAGCTTCAAAATCTCTGCATCTTCATTATAAATTAATTCATGAATTGAAGTAGTTTATATCTTTTATAGACTAATGTTTTTTTCTAATTTGACATTTTATGCCAAAACAATGGAGAGAACAGACACAACCAAAAACTGATAATGGCAGTGTAGCTGTGGAACATAAGCTCAGACTAACAACTGCTGACCAGATGTTTCTATGTTTAGCCAAATTTAGCCAAAAGAAGAGCTGTGAGTTTAATAAAATCAAATGCCTGAACAGTGGTGACATATTTCAAATCTTTTATTCACATAAATGACACAATTAGTTGGCTGGCTTTTGAGATTGTGTCTGTTGTTAATTCTACTCAAAGTAATCATTTTCAAAAGTTAAAGCTGCACAGATCTCAGTATTCATCACTGTTGTTGCTTATCTGGAATGAAACTCTTGCTTAATCTGATATCTTAAGCATTTGTATGCAGATGTATACTTCCTTTATAAAGACATAAATGCAAAAGTATGATTAAAGTTTTCAGATAAGCAAACATTTGGAAAAAGTGACCCTACCCTTATAGAATCACATAGAATTTTAGATCAGATCATCTATTTGTGTACATCTTAGTATAATTATTTAGAAAAAAGAAAAAAACATGGCAGAATTATTAATAAATGTGCGAACCAACAGCAAGATCTAGCGTCGCCCGCTGATTTAAAGTGATCCAAATCAGCAGCATACCATCTAATGGCAGACACACATTGCTGTAGAATCAGCATATGCCACCAAACCAGAAGTGGCATATGCTGACATGCCATCTGCTGCTTTTAGATTTGGCACGATTTGAGACTTAGCAATGCCAAAGTAATTTAATTAGAGTAGTTTAGAAATGCCTATGTTGTAATTATGTTTCTAACGGTTAAGTTAGATGTAAGAGAACCACTGTTGGTTATTGTTTTATGGGCGGGAAATGAAATGAATTATTTGAGTTATTTTTTTCCCTATGTGGTCCAACTTAAAAAAAAAAAAGAAATCAAACAGCAGGGTTAGTTTATTTCAGTGTAATACAATTGTGTTGACAGCTTGTGTCACCGATTGTTGTCGTCAGGTGACAAATCAGCAGGAGAAGTGTTTGGTTCACTCGCCTACATTCTTTGCTCCCTACAACTCTGGCTAAATATTTCAGTGTCAGCATGTGTTGTGTAACACAAACCCTTTGAGGGCAAAACAAACATTTTGATTCTGGTTTGTTTCAGCAGCAGACCTCAGCGTGACATCAACTTGCCTTCAAGGACTATTTGAATTTCTTTGAAATTTCCCAGCTTTTGATGTCCATCTCTCTTTTACTTTTACATTATGAGCCAACTCAGAGTTTTAAAACAGAATCCAAAGTAGTGCAGCCTGAAGAAAATCCAATCCTGGTCTTTCATTGATTTCCATATTTTTATTTTCTCATGTCTGATCTGAAAAGTTTAAGTTTAATTTGTTCTGCTATCTCGATTGCTCAATCCTTGGCCTGACATGCTGTATATTTTTGTAAGAAATTGCTGACAAACTTCTTTTCTTTCTCCTTTTCTTTGTCATGTGGCCTTAAGGATTTCCCTCTGCTCCAGCTCGATGATGTGGTGGGTGACCAGTCCAACATCGTTGGTTTCTCCATGCTGAACATTTCCCATCCTTTCTACCTGGATTTCATCAGGAGCCTGAACTTGTCATGGAAAGAAGGGTGCAACATCAATCCATACCCAGGACCTGCGGTGAGAGACATTCACAGAAAATTCTTCACCCCCTGCTGTTTGCAGACCAAAGATGAACATGGTAGCACTTAATATGATGAAAGACTGATCAAGCTGAAACTATTTAAATAGTCCCTAATGGTCTGCTGTTATATCTGTCCTTCTGAAATTATTATATTAGTCTTTATTTCAATGCAAGTAAAATTATATATTTGAGAATTTCACTTTGCAATTATTCAACATAGATAAATTCTAAACAAGCGTTTTTATTTTTATTTTTTCAGCAACCTGATTCTGATCTAAATATTCACCACAAACCATGTTTGTGCTCTATTTCCCTTTTTTCTTTAACATTAATAACCTTAAAGAAACAACAACATAAGGTAGAAAGTTATGTGGCTTTAAATTAAAGTATGTCTCATCTGCATAGAAACTTTTTCATCATCATTATAACTGTGCTGTAATTCTGGATGTTTTATTCTTACGTTTATGCACGTCAGTCGATTTTAACTTCTTCACACAGACATTTGACCTTGTTTATGTTGACTGTGGAAAAATATAGAAATAATGAGACAAAGCACATACTGTATCATGACCGTGGTCCATTTTATAAGAAAGTCAAAATAATTTAGAGGAAGGTTTGTCTCATATACCGATTTGATTTCATAAATTGAGTCTTCTGTTTCATCCTCCTGTCTATCTGGTCCTACAAATTTCACACAATGCTTATGTTAAAATAAACAACGCACTAAGTCTGCTTGAATGCTAATTAGGAATGTTTATACCATGTTGACGAGCAGAAAGGGCATGTTCTCAAAGTTTGACACTGATATATGATGAGTAAACTCACTGCAAAGTGGCTCATGTGAGCTTGTAGAAACAGCTGTGGTTCCAGACAAAAACCGGTGAGAGCTGCCAATTATTTTTTTCTCACGTTCCCTTTTTCCCTTATCTATCTGTCTCTCATTTCAAACCATTCTAACTTGATGTCATTAAGCTCTGAATCTATTACCTTGCCAGAAACCCCTATCTGCAAGCATCTGTCTTTTTTATCAAGGTTTCACAGATTGTACAGCTCTGCCTCTCTGCAATTTATCTGATTCTCTAAGAGTGTCAGTCTGAAAGACAACTGACCAAACAGACTCTGATAGAATCATTCAGTCCCATGAGTTGAATGCAACTGAAGGCAGGTGTGCTTAACTTTTCCTTCTTTTTCTGCACAAATTCAGTCAAAGCTTCACAACTGTGACATTGCCACTAATCATTTGGCTCTATAGATAAAATTCAGTAAATGAGAAACAGAGATCTAGAGCACTATAGCCAGCAGTTTCTTCTTGTTTTAAACTGAAGTAGTTATTTGTGCTCTACAATAACTGAGTAAACAGCTTTACAGCTACATTCAATCAATATGTATGTTATTGCTATACCTTAAGCCAAATACAAGAAAAGAAATCCGCAACTAAGTTGCATTCATTTTTGTTCAGCCTTTTTCCCTTCTTTTCTGCCTCACTTGTCTGCTTCCCTTTTGTGTTTGAAGTTTTTCTTGTCTCTGTGCTAAAGCATCTTTGCTATTTTGTCTGTGATTTTTGTAGCTGCCAATACATAGATTTTTCTTGTTTTGTTTTGAAGCCCACCTCGAACAACTTCTGAGCTATTTTGTGAATGCTCTCTCTTTGTCGCCACTTCGTTACGTTGTTCTATGGTAAAACGCTTGTTGACTTCAGAATTGCTTTCTGACTGACGGTCTGATTTTTTTTCACACACTTCAAGCTTCTAGTGCCTGCCCATCTTTGATGTTTGCTGTGAAAGAAGAGAAACTAAATATTGATTAAGTCAATATTTTTCTTCCTCAACAATTTCCCGACTAGGTACTTGCATCACCCAGAAGTAATTTTGATCTATTCAGACTGCCTCAGAACCTCAAAGGTTTCGGGAGCCGCATCTATGAACTTTGATCTTCAGCTCTTTACATTGGTTATTAATTGGTGGTACCTTCTGTGATTGACTGAGTCATTCGAGCATCTTTTTTCTTTCTCCAAAGCTAGTTTAGAGTCAAGGTCATCGTGAAAAATCCGCCAATCCAGATCCAAAGAATGACTCAGTTACATGAAGTGTGCCGGTACCATATGTTGAAAAACAGCCTCATCCTATGATGTTTTCACCTCCATATGTGGCTTTTTTTTCCAGTTTCATCCCTCCTCATACACAGTGTGTGGAATATCATTGATTTTAGCTTCATCAGACATAATAATGCATTAATGGGTTTATTTGCCTTGACCAAATGCTTTACAACCAATTTTAGATGTGCTTCATCTAAAATTGTTCTGTTTTTCAATAGATGAGTCTTCACAGTTATTACGCATTAAGGCCATTACAGTTGGGTTCACTGTTTACTGTTTTCCTGGAAATTATGTGTTTTGAGTTTAGAAATACATGTATCCATTTTCATCAAAAGGTTTTGCAACAACAACGTTGGAAAGGTCTTGCGAGACTTCCTATTAGTACCTTGGTAATAAGAAAGATTATTATAGGTTTAAGTTAGTTCTTGTTGTCATTTCAAGTCTTTTTCTATTTACTTTTTTGCTTGTGTCATTCCACTTTATTATATATTGCCTAATTTATGGACTGGTTTTTCTGTCTCTCCATCTTATCTGACCCTCAAATGGGTTCAACATACTTTTGCTTTTTTCCATGAATGCCGCCTGCCTGCACACATCTGTATTTTTCCAATGGTGGCTAAATTAAAAATACAAAATGCAGCATTCCATTAAGAAAAATGCACCTCTTACTACAGCCTCAGTGGAGGGAGGTTGATGTGCTACTTTGTCATCTGCATGACAAAAATGCACACAGGCAGTGTGGTGATTTTGCCCTGTAAGGATGCACAATCAGTACAGTGTGGGCCTTCTGACTGATGGTCTTCCTGCGCAGACTTCCACAGGAAGTCCTGGCAGACCCCACTGAACCAGGACAGATGACGGGCTGTACACTACACAGGTTATCTGGTTGAATAGATGATTATACAGAATGTAATCAAGTATGAATGCACCATAAATCAACTTTAAAGTAATTGCTTTCTGCTTCATGATGGTTTTTTTGGTTTGTTTTTTGTTCACCCAATTAAGAATTTTTGGTGTCACAAATTTTTCTTCATGCAAGTGATGTGGCATCATTTACCATCTTTTGGGAGAAAAAAAATTGTTTCATAATGTGATAGTACCACTGAACTCCTTTTGAGTATGGTTGGGATTATTTTTACACTTCAAAGTCTTTCTCTCCATTACTACCTAGATAAAAGCATAGGAAACGCTACATTTACTTGTATTTTTTGGAGCACTGGTGACTTACTTAATGCATACAGTGCAGTAAAGTAGCTTATTGGAAACTGGTTTGTTTATTTATCTCCAAATATAGTGAAAAGATTTATAGCTAAATAAGACAGCAAGGAATTTTGCAATATATATTTTTCTCAATGCTTTTATTATCACAATAAATGCCACGGAATATTGGGCTAAAGTCTCTGGTCCATTTCTTCCCTTCTTATTTTGAAGACTTTAAAACCTTAACTGGAAGTTATTGGTTGTGCAGTTAAATAAAATGCTATTGATGTCAAGGAATTTTATTGTCTTCTGAAGAATTCTATGAAACTGTGTATATGTATTTTGTGTGCTGCAGCAACTTTACAACATTTTGTATGAACTTCTTACTCATAACTTGTATATGTTGCATTTATTTGTCTCATCAAAGCTCTGCTGACGGTGTAACTGGGATGTCGTACACAACATAACTTTCTTTTCCTCTTCAAATGTAGTCCTGCACAGTCAACAGAGATGAAATGATAATTTATTTCATTAGTAAAAACATCATCAGCCAATGTGCTTAGATTTAAATTTAACTGTTCATTATGGTTTTGTAACCTTGAGCTGGGAAATCTTGGAATGCTTTCTGCAGAAATGATAGCAAGAAAGGTCTGTTGTGACTGCAACTTCATAGCACCTTTTTGAGCAAACTAGATGGAAGGGAAAATGCTTACTTATTCATTTATTTCATGCCCAGCTGTCATCCGCCCTGATGTTTGATGCTGTTCACGTGGTGGTGAGCGCCGTGCGGGAGCTGAATCGCAGTCAGGAGATTGGCGTGAAGCCACTGAGCTGCACCTCCCCCCTCATCTGGCAACATGGGACCAGCCTCATGAACTACCTACGCATGGTAAACACATACACACACATTTACTTCACATACTCATATTTCATATGCATGGACCGGGGAAACACAGAATTTCAGCAACCCTGTGCGTCTGTCAGAAGCTAAGATAAGCTAAAATAAAATACTGGAAACAAAAACTGTAAAATAAATCTGGAAATGTAAATAAACCCTGTAGCTGAATGCAGAACAAGAAGAATAATTTCTAGGTAATTTGTTTTTTTAATTTCAGTGATTTTTATGAGCTGATCCAGTGCCTTGCAAAAGGATTCACATGCCTTGAACTCTTCACATTTTGTCCAATTAGACACATTTCAGCTCACATTGGGATTCTAAGAGACAGTACAACATCAAGTAGGACCGAAACACTAAATTTACATCCACAGCTGGTTTGGGAAAAATGTTGGTTGAACACTTTCCATTAGTTTTATATTTAAATGAGATAATATAGCAGTAGTGATGTAGCATTGCTTTATAATGTAATGTGGAAATTTCACATAGTTGGTGAAATGCAAAAAACTAATTTCTTTTGCCATAATGTGTTAAAATATATTTTAGCATGATAGATTGTGTTTTAGAGGTAACAAAAAAAAAGCGAACTAGCAAAGTCCCAACTTTATAGAGACGCTTCATTCTTTTGGGACATGATTTTGCACATTGAAATTACATGTTGAGAATCCCGCTGTGCAAAACCAGACTATGGAGTTAGTTGTAGTTATTATCAAGAAACACTTTGAAATTGTATTTAAATCAGTCTACATGAGTCACATAAGATTTTATTCTACTCAAATATTTAGATTAGACTTTGATTAGTCACCCATTATCATTTTCCCTTCATTCAGAGGCGTAATGTTAAAGATGTCTGATAGATGCAACAACATTATTTGATTATTTTACATTTACTTGCATTACTTTAATGATGCTTTGTGAATTTTCTGTGTGCTTTGATGTCTGTTACTCATGTTTTCATTTTCCACTGTCTTTGTAGTCGTCTTCTTTTCTAACAAGAACTATTAAGTTGCATTAAAAAAAAGCTGAACTTTTTCTTCAGGCGGCTCATAAATTGTCTATAAATCTTAGTGTTGTAAAATAGTCTGCATTACATGCTTGTTTTCAACATGACTAAGAGCAAAATAAATGTTTAGATTCAATATATATATAAAGAACTTTTTAGATTGTCTTACCGTTACATCTGTATCTTTTTTAATATTAATTTGATTTGCTCTCATTTTCCTGTTTCCTTGTTTGTATCTGTCTGCCTTCTTGTTTTTTCCATCCACTGATGATGCTTCTCCCTCCATATTGTTTTTGTAGCTCACAGTGCATCACTTCATCATCTCTGCCCTGTGTTTGGCAGCAACCGGGGACCTCTCTCCCTCTCTCTGTCTTTCTCGCTCCACTTTTTTTAGGATGTAATTCATCTTGAGTCATGTACACACACATAACCATTCATATTGAATGTGTACTCCATAACACATAACTCACATAAACTCAGGAACAAAATGCATGCTTGGCTGCATGTGTATCACACAAGTCTCACACTTATTTGCACATTACTGCAAGCACGTATTGCAGCAGCTCTGTCACTGATCTGATGTACTGTCAGTTTTCTCAGTTTCCGTTTCCAATAAGTATTTGTTTTGGAGTTTGTGATTACGTTTCTGTGTTTTTTCATTGAATAACATATGAATCAACACGTTTTGTGTCAGATGAAACTGACAAATTCAAACCAATTGATCCAGTTTCATAAATTATTTGTTGTTTTCCACACTTCAATTTCTATTATGGCGTTAGATTATGACAACTGCTGCATTAGTGTGGTATTGGAACAACTGGTTCCATTCAGTTCACAGACTATTTCAATCTGTTTATTTGTACATAAATATTTCAAAGGTCCATTAAAAATCAACACCAAAACCAGACAAAGAGTAGGGAGGCTACACTGATTATTTTCTTTTTCTTTATCACTCATAGCAATCTATGATAAGTGTGTTGAAACTTTCACATTCATTTATCTTTGTTTTTGTGTGATCTCTCATTTTGCCAGGTGGAATATGATGGTCTGACAGGCCACATTGAGTTCAACAGTAAAGGACAGAGGACCAACTACACCCTGAAGATCTTGGAGAAACACCCTGCAGGCCATAAAGAAGTAAGAGAACACTTTTCATTCAATAACATATGAACAAGGTGGAGAGCTTAGCCATTAAATACATAAACCTGATGTTATATTTACTCTGTTTAAAGGAGTAATAAATAAGTCTCCCTATTGAAACTAAATTTGAAATGTAAAGATTTGTAAGATCATCACTCATACAAGCATCACAGAATAGATGTCTAAAGAACCAAAGGGGTTTATTAAGCAGGTCTTTCATACATTAATTCGTTCTGCTATCCATATAGTGTGTGTGAACAAACTACAATGGTCTTATTAACCTAAAATAATTATTTAAAGATGAAAAATCTGTTGGTGAATGTGGGTCTTATCTGTGGTCTTTAACTTGTATTGAAAGGTTTAGAGGAGGCGGTTCTCAATATTTTAGATTAGATATCTGGTAAAGACGGTTTGTTCTTTTTTACTGACTTTGTTTTCACCTTTTAACATTTTTCCTAACACCCTTTACTGGAAATATAACATTAAAACAATCTGAAAGCTAAGTGGCTGATTGCTGTGAGTTTCTGATAAATTTCTCTTTGAAATAATGAGCTCCTTCCTTTTCTTGCAATCTTAATTTTTACAATGTATTGAGCTGACCTGATTAACCCTGAGTGGAAATCATACTCAACGTCTTTAGACTAATCAGATGCAATCAACTTTGATCAAATCTACTTGACCACCAGAAAGTAAATCAAGTAATAAAATGAAGGCTTTTGAGTTGGGGTCAACTTCTTATTGCCCTTCAAAATGCAACTCAAAACGACGATTCCTCATTCTACCTAATAAATTGTGCAAAGCAGAGGCTTCCAGCCCAAATTACTGAGAGTTTGGGCTGGAATCAAACCAATCAAACCAAGTCTGATTCATTAAAAAGGTTGTCAGATTATATTGTTCTAATGAATCATACTTATTATGGCATAACATAATTGTGTGTTCTTAATGGACTTATATATATATAGAATAGTTGGGATTTAATAAAATAGCATTACTTTTACTGTGTTTTGGATGCACTCCATATTTTTCATTTTTTAAAATCATTTTACTTATATGACCTTACAATTGTATTTAGTTTTTATTACCCTGTCACTTTTAATTTTTCTGATATTCTATTTTATTAGATTTTAGTTTAATGGGGTCTGTTTTTAATCTTGTAAAAAAGCTGTGCCTAAGTACCATCCTGTAACTTTTAGATGCATTTCTACTTCAACAATGCTGAATCTAGTGAATGGCTTGTTACCATCCCCCTGCAGAGTTAAATGACATGCTGAAGAGAGAATTCAGACATTTGATTTTGGTGTATTAGAGCAGAGGTACTTCATAAAGTTGCAGAATAGTAGCTCTCAAGAACCAGGACAAGGAAACCAATATTGTAAAGCATGGGCTTTGGACCGCTCTGACGGTACTACTGTAAACTGCCAGCCTGTAACGTTTATAGCTACAAATCTTCTAAAAGATTTTTTGAAATTTTTCCAAAGCAAATTTTATAGTTTTACAGGAATTTTCTATTTCAATCATTTGATCTGTCACTTTTGTCCACATGCAACTAGAATTTGCAACACATATTAACAGTAAAAATGCAAGAACTCAAGGATTGAAGACCTATACAGGAGTTTTAATGTAATAAAATATCTGTAAGGACATTAGATCATTGAAATAAAGTGAGGTTTTCAATTAAAAAAAGTTAGCATTTCTGCATTTCCATTTTTTTAAAGTTAACGTTGCGCTTAATTCCTCTTTCTTCCCTACAGATTGGCACTTGGTATTCCAACAACACATTGGCAATGAACTCAACTTCTTTGGACCTCAATGCCTCAGAAACACTAGCTAACAAGTCCTTAATTGTCACCACTATACTGGTAATGTGTTATTAAACATACATAATGTGCATTAACTAGCTTACAGTGTCACGTGTTTGTGTTTCTCTTCCTTTTAGTATGTTTCAGCCATCAGCCAACAGTTTTTGTTCTTGGTCTGATAGGAAAACCCATATGTAATGCGCAAGTCCAATTATCAGGACTTCCGTGGAAATGATCAGTATGAAGGTTTTTGTGTGGACATGCTGAGGGAGCTGGCAGACATCCTGAAGTTCTCCTTCAAGATTAAGCTGGTGGATGACGGGTTGTATGGAGCACCTGAACCTAATGGCAGCTGGACCGGCATGGTGGGGGAGTTGATCAACAGGGTGAGTATGAAATAAATAGACTCACTAAAAATACCACTTTTGATTTTGCAAGAAATTTCCTTCATTTGGAGCCTTTGGCCTCTTTGAAAGTGGTGCATATTTTTATTTTTGGCAAACAATTTGTTCACAAAAAAGAATTTGACCTGATTGGACTCTAAACTCTGAGCTGAAAAGCATTTCTGAAAGGGAAAATAAGCAAACGGTGGAAACAGGAAAACCGCTCTATAATTTTTTAAAATGAAAATCCAATAAATTCACAACAAAACTGGTCTCTTATTTTCTGCAACTATGAGTCCTTTGCAACTTGCCTCCAGCTCTTCCATTTCAATATCACTTATTTGACCTGCCAATGTCATCTGTGGTTCTGCAACACTCGCAGGCTGATTCTTTTTGGATTCATGCCGCTGCTCACTCTGTCCTCAGCCACCTTCTCTTTAATGCAGACTCTGTCATTCTTTTGGATGGATCCCCTATCGGCTCTTCATTCTCTTTGGCACTCCTATCCCCTCTGTGTTTGCTACATTTTCCTAGACAGCTGCTTTTTTCACTTCCTTTATTAAAAGCTTCTATGCTTCACTCCTCTTCTTCCAGTACAAACCGTCACCTGGGATTTCAGTTGGCGGATACTTTAGGGTCACCTCGATGATAATGAATGAAAATAACACCAAGATAATGAATACTTTCCAAAAGCAAGCACAAAGTGTAGCCATGGTTTAAAGCTGCCTGGGTACATTGTGAGAAAATCCCATATCTGAAATATGTTGGATTTTAAGTTGGCAAAAGATGAAGTGAAAATTCTCCACTGCTTTACAGCGTCATCAAGTTCAAGTGTGACCAAACCAAACACATTTCACATTCAAAAGCAGCAAATTGAATCAGGCGAAGCCACCACGTACACACAAACACGAGCATCCCCAATTGATTTTTCTAACCTCTGCATTAGTTGTTATAGCAACAGGCAGGGGCAAGGGTGCAAGACATGGGCTTTGAGTTACTGACAGTGATGGCACTCTTAACTGCAACACAAGCGTCAGCCAATTATACAAGAGGTGGAGTGTTGGAAAGCCTTTCAGCTCTGATCAGCGGTCACAGGGAAGCTCAGGACGTATTAAGTGGCTCAGCTGAAGCTCAATTTCCCAAGTTAGTTGTTTTCTCAGTGAAAGTAGTTCACTTTAAGTCGAGTCTAATTAGATAATTGTGTGCAATGAAAACTGCAAGAAGAGGTAAAAATGATGAGGAGAAGAGACAGTGAGAGTGTTTTGTGCTTTTCTGTGCGTTTAAGAAAATCCTTTTAAGTTGTTAGAATTTTATTTTAGTTATGGAAAATTAGCAAAAATTTTAATTGCTTTCTGAATAGTAAATATTGGAAGCGGCTTTAAATATTTTATGTTGATAAAAGCCTTTTAAAAGTATTTATCATAAATTTTGGGAACATAAGGTTTTCTAAAACAAAATATATGAAAAGCTCTGGAATTTTTTTTTTTTGAAATCTGATTTTCTTTCATTTGCAGATACTAGTTGAAACCTGTTAAAATTTTATTTTAAGACTTAACAAGATGTAAATAATTTCTTTTCAAGCCTTCTTGATGTGAATGGTCACTTATTATTTATGTTAGATGTGGCTGAAACCACTTTGAGAGCACAGTCAGTAGAAAATTAGTGTTTGAAACAAAGACAAAATGGTTACACAGTTGACATTTTACACAATTTTAGTGTCTCATGTTATCTATTAGCACAATTTTGCAACTGCAAACAGCAGTCTGGGAATTTATTTTCCTAACTGAGATTTAACTGCTAACATTTCTAAATATTTCACCAGAGACAGAACCGCTCTATAATTCAAATGAATAAAATGGAACAACTGTGCTGCAATATGCCGAAATGACAAAATGTCCTTCAGGTGGGTACAAACTGATATCTTCTAGCAGAACCCTAAAAAGTTGAACACAAAATAACAAAATGTACAAAAGCTAAAGGAACAAATAAACCAGAACCTTTTAGTCCTTTCATCTGCAGTTTTATTTTTATACGATATTTGTACAAATATATATCTAAAAACCATAAAAGAAAGTTATGTTTCTCTTATGACTTAATAGTAAACTCTCTCACTGACATCGAAAATTTAATTAACCCTAAAATCAACTCTTTTGTGCTGATAAAGAAAACAAAGGTTTTAAGGGATTCTATCTTTATGTTTCTGCAAATTTTGACTTTTGTTTTTAAATTTGTATGAAATGAAAGTGTAATTTTTTTACATTTACACACATTTTTTGTGTAAATTTGTCTAAAATGTTGACACTCATGAACATTGTGTTTAGCATTACTCAGTTTTACAAATATGATTTTTTTTTTGTAATGTAATCACGGAGTGGTTCCCGTCTGCTCCGATTATGGGCGACAGCAGAACAGGAAGTGAGATGGGTTAAGCAACCACTCAGCTCAGCCCCTGCTACCACTGCTAAAACTGCCAGACTACCATTTTAAGACAGCACAGAAAATTCAAATCATTATTCACAACTTGTCCTTGTGTTCGCTGATTGGCCCAGTAGAAGGTCTACCAGAGACGATCCAAGTTATGGGGAGAAAGCCCAAACAAGAATCTTTTTCAAGCAGAATTCCTAGACAGCAGTGGCCAGACTTGCCTCAGAAATGCCAGAGGAATTAGTCATAGTCTCTAAGTCCCTATGATAGAGTTACCCAGCTTGGTGGTTCAAGCAAGTGATGTAGCAATTACACAAAAACACACCAGGGCTTTCATAGTGCTGTGTTATTCACAGAATTTGTTACACTGAAGTATGTTGAGAGAGTAAAGATCATTGAATCTAAGCTAAGTGTATCAGTAACAATTATTAGAAAACTGAAAAGTTGTTGCTCAGATTGGAAAGGTTTTACCCGATCCATATGTTTAAAGACTGAAGACTACTCTATACAGGAAACTTGGCTTCCTCCTATAGTATATCTTAACTGAGACAGAAAAGATGAAGGCCCAGCCTGGTAGTGCTGTGTGAAAGGGGTGTGATGAGGAAACCATAATACATCCCCAAACCTTATAACCCAGCCTAAAACACTGTGGTACTTTTAACTTTAACCCTGAAAAGATGCTTTAACCTTTGTTTAATTAGTGGGGTCTAGTAAAAAGCATCAAAAATAGTCTCTGGGTTAGCGACCCCAAAAATTGTTCTCTTGTGTTTGGAAGCAGGGCCACACATAATGGTGATGGTAATGGTGATTGTAGCTGATGGTTGTGTGAGTATGTGTGTGTGTGTCAGAAAGAGAAACTGGGGAACACAGTAGAGCCATTAAGAGGCTAATCAACTGCCTTTTTTCCTTACTAATTATACAGAGCTGTTTCAATTACACTGTGGGATTCCTCAGTATGAACCCACACAGACACACGCAGACAGACAGACACACAAGCAGCTATCCCTTTATTTTAAATATGTGGCCACAAAACTGTGCATTCGAAAGAGCAGTCACTCTTTCTTCTCTCTCTCCTCTCTCTCGCTTCTCAAGACATGACAACTGTCCAACCTAAACACAGAAACACACTCCTATAAACTTTGTTGTTTGTAAGACCGAGAAGTCTGATGAAAGTGGGAGAAATTTAGTTAAGAAGTGTGTGCTTGTTAATCAATTAGGTGTTAATTAAAGAGCAGAGAGGTGTCTGGGGTCCAGATAAACACTCCACCATGGCTCGACTCTGGGCCTCAGTTGAGTTGAACCTTAATGAGATTATCTTTCAATTTTAATTTCACCTTTCTGACTTCATCCATCAAGGTTAAATCCAAACTTGAGTGTATTGCGGCAGTTTTGGTGTGGAAAAACAGAAATAAAAAGGGCATTTTTAAAAGAGGGTTTTTCAGGAACCCACTTTAAACCGTGCTTATGTCACCAGAAGAAAGCTTCATGTCCTGGCTGTGTTAGGGATGGATTTCAGCTCCCTCTCAGTGTCCAGTCAATATTACCAATTGATACAACTGGAATGCAGTAAATTGAATTTCTTTGTGTCCTCCAGTAGGAAAGAAAGTGAAATTTAAAGAAGTGGAAAATGTGCATTATCCAATTCAATGCTGACCTTTCAGATGTATTAGGCTTTTTTCCCTTCAGAAGACACCTTATGAAATATCCACCTATCATGGGTTAAATATTGCGATATTGAAGATCCTTCTTCTTATCCCCTTATGCAGCTCTTGCTCTCTGTCTGCTTTATATATATAATAGACTTGATGAGTTTTGTTAGCTAGTTTTACAGTGCTTTGCAAAAGCATTCATCCTCCTTCAGACATTTTTCATTTCATTATGTTGTTGGGATTTTCTGTCACAGACCAACTCAAAGTTGTGCATAATTATGAATTAAAAGAAAAATCAGACGTACTTTTTTAAAACCACAGTTGCATTCTGTATTATCAAAAATGCAAGAAGAAAGACATCGAAAGCCGACAATTTTCTATGTGCAGCTCACTATTTAAGAGATTTGGTTTATTCCTTGTTTGCTCTGTGGAAACTGTATGTTGTATAGCTTCTCTCTGCCAGTCTCTATTGATATTCTTCCATTGTATCTAATCCACCACCTGTTCTCTGCCTCCAGTCCGCTCATCTTCAGTCAGCCACCTTTTATCTCTGACCCCTCTGAATATATTTCTGAGTTTATGTATGCACATTGGTTTATTTTGGTTTAAATGGCAGATCATCAGTGTTTCATTCTTGTTTTTTTGCTCACTTTTATTTCTGTGCTGGACCTTATTTTTTTGGGATTCACTTTGGAGTTCAGGATGTGTGTCTGCTCTTCTATTTGTTTAATAAAACATTGTTTTTCTTGGCTCTGGCCTTGTGTGTTAGTGTACATTTGGGTCCCTCTTCTGCTACCACTTCTTGACAGCAGTAGCTTCATTATTTTTGGTGCTCGCTCCACTGAGGGCAGAAAGAAGAAAGGCCCAATGCTTTTGCATTATGTAAAGTTTAATAGATGGACCAGCCAATTTTCCAACAGATTTCACTGC